GCACGGTCGTGGTCGATACTGTACTGGCGGATCATCGCTGGACCGTGATTGCATTATGTAGTGAATAAATAAAGCTTAACTGTATCGCAAGTAAACAAATACCTATATACGACCCTGTAATATTAGGCGGGGAATTATGTACGGTGGATTGGTCTCATATTGATGGTATGCAGTCACTGCAGAAAATAAACACTTTTATTAAAGGTACATTTAATAATGCATATTCAATGGCAACGAGAACAATTAACAAAAACTACGAATTGTATCGACAGGTGCCACGGATTAATAAAAAAATAATTTGAGTGATGAACCTGATGAGCTATTTAGTAAATGGAAGAAAGACCAGAACAATATACCATTAAGATTAGAATACAATAGGAAAAGAAACAGTTAAACAAGGTAACTGAATATTACAGAAATGCTTATTATAAAAATAAAACAATTAAAAATTTTGCTAATTCAAGAAAATCATGGCAAATTTTAAATTATATCGCTAGTAGGATTGTAAAATCAATAGAAGAGGTTATATTAAATGCCTTTCAATCATAACACCCTTAACCAAAGCATATTGCAGACAATTTAGTTAATAATATTGACTCTGATGTGAAAAATATTTTAACAAATTGCAACCAGAATATATAAAAATATTTAATAATTATTGTAAAGAATTGTAGTATGTCCTATAAGAATGCAACGCCAGATAGTGTATATAAATTAATTAATAAGTTAAGTACTATAAATTAGTACTTAACTTATTGATGAGTTATAAGATCATTTAGTAATAAAAAATATCAAGGGCATTGCTAATATGATAATAATAATAATAATAATAATTTCTTTATTTGCTTAGAAACATAGTATTATAAGCTGGTACAAGTTTGATAGAGCGCATATGTTTCGCCATAATGAAAATAGCATGCAAATAACACATTGAGTTTAAAAATATTATAATGAGATTACATGTCAATTCATACTATTAATATACGAATAAAACTTCACACGAATAAAAATTGAATAAAATAAGAATTTATAACTATATTAATCTATGTTAAGTTTTTGGTACAGAGAAATGAATCTATGCTATAAAAGTTATTCTGACTTAGCCATTTGTACAACCTATGTTTAAACATATTGATATTGAGCATTTTAATATCTCTAGGAATCTTGTTATATATTTTGACACCCATACAGAGGCAACTTTTTGCATACTTATCCGACCTTGGAATGTCATTATATATCAATCTGTGAGGATCTCTCAATCTAAAATTATTAACTTTGTTAAATAATTCTGTGTTTTTGTGTACAAAAACCGCAACTTCATAAATATAAAGTGATGGTAGTGGCAATAATTCTAGACTTTTATACAGTGATTTACAGGAAACGTCAGGTAAAACTCCACATATGGCTCTAATGCATTTTTTTGAGCTATAAATGCTCTGTTTTTGTCCGTACTGTTGCCCCATAGTAAAATGCCGTAGCGCAATATCGATTCTATGTAGGCGCGATAGGACATAATAGCGGTCTTTTTGTCGGTTACGGTCCTAACACGTTTAAGAGCATATACGAACTGATTAATTCTGTTACACAAATGGTCTATATGTATTTTCCAGTTCAAGTTCTCGTCAATAGTTATACCTAAGAATTTCAATTGTTGTACTTTTTTTATCTTTGTCACATTTAGATTAAAATTGTGTTGCTTATGTTTTGATTTATTGAATTGTATATAGTATGATTTATCAAGATTAATATTTAAATTATTTGCTTTAAGCCATTCGATTATTATGTCAATAGTATTATTAATGTCACATTCATGATTATGCAAAGAGACATTGTTTTTAGATTTGTTAGATGTAATAATTATGGATATATCGTCAGCATATAAAGTACATTGATGTTTTGTTACTTCTGTTATGTCATTAATGTAAAGTATGAATAGAATGGGTCCAAGTACGCTTCCTTGTGGGACACCAGTGCTGCATTCTCTATATTCAGACGAAATAGAACTAATTTCATTATTAAATATTTTTTGAAGACAACTTTTTGTTTACGCCCACTTAGATAAGACGATATCCATAATAATGAGGGTCCTCTGATTCCGAGAGATTCCAGTTTGCTCACAAGAGTTTTATGTGCAACGAAGTCAAATGCCTTTGATAAGTCAATAAAGAGTACAGTAGTTAGATAATTGTTATTTAAGCTGGTCAATATTTTATTTATTAGGTTAAATACTGCTAAAGTTGTTGATTTTTCTTTCTGGAAGCCAAATTGTTCCTTTTTTATAATATTACACTTAGAGCAAAAACTCATAAGCCTTTTTAACATGCACTTTTCAAATAACTTTGAAAGAATCGGTATTAATGTTATAGGGCGATAGTTTGCTGGATGTTTTTTATCCCCCTTTTTGTACAGTGGTTTGACTAAAGATATCTTGTCTTATTTATAATTCATGTAACTCTTTTGAGACAAATAAACATTTTCATTTTCAAAAAAAAAAAAAGCTTTAACTTATCTGGAAATATACCAGCAGAAAAGGACAAGTTTATGAGATATGTAAGGATATCGACTATTTCAGTGACGCACGTTTTTAATATATTAGTGGATATACTGTCATATCCTTCGGCTTTTGTGTTTTTTAGACTCATAATTTCCTTTTTTACTTCTTCCACCGTCATTGGTTTTAAGTACATTGAATTAATTGTTGTCCCCTTTTGCTTAAATTTTTGGAGTGTTAATTGATACAGTGTCAGTCGTGTTAATAAAGTAGTCGTTAAAGGCAGTAGCTACGTTAGCAGGGTTTGTTATTGTTTAATTTTTTATATTTAATTCAGTAATGTCGTCATCTATTTTTATATTTTTTATTTCATTTTTTATCACTGACCATGTTGCTTTACATTTCTTTTTACTACGATTTATAAATTTAATGTTTGTTTTTCTTTGAGAGTTATTAATGTATTTTTTTAATAATTTAGAGTAGGCCATGTACGCTTCTTTATTTACTGATGTTTTATTATTGTAATACTTATAGCAAAGATATCTTTTTGTTTTGCAACTTATTTTTAGACCACGGCTTATCCATTTTTGTTTTTTAAAATTAATGTTGCTTATTTTGATTTTTATGTTCGGGAAACATAAATTATAAAATAAAAATAACATATCGTGAAAATTTGTAAAAGCTATGTTCGCGTCAAACTCGTCGTAGACTTCAGACCATGATAAGTTGTTAATGCAATTTTTGAACTTTTTTATATTTTCAAGGCAATAGTCTCTTTTATAAACAAAGTGTGACTTGGGTGTAATTTTTGGTCCCTTTATGGGAAAAGTTAATAGCTGAGCTGTGTCATGGTCAGATAAATGGAGTGGTAATAAGGTAGTTGTAGCGTCTTTAATATTGCTCAAAATATGATCTATGCAAGCTCCTTTACGAGTTGGACTTTTAATGTGTATTTTTAAATTATAGTTGTTGCATAAATCTGATAAATGGCTGCTAATTTTTCCTGGTCTTAACGTATTGATATTAAAGTCACCTGTAATTACAATCTTCATGTCTTTTCTATATCGGCTATTAAGTTCATGTAAAACCACGTCTAATTTATTTAAGAACAAGTTCGGGTCAGAATTGGGGATTCGGTAAACACAAATTATGAGTAACTTAAGTGACAGGATGTTAATACCACAAGCTTCAAATGTCTTTTGTGTTGTGTGATTCGTAAATTAATCCTTGTTTGATTAAAATACAAGTTCCGCCTCTTTGTTGATCTCTACAAAAAGTTGATGCTAATTCATATTGGGCAACATTTACGTATTTATTGTGATTGGACGTCAGGAATGTTTCAGACAAACACAATACGTCTGGATTTGTATTTGAATCTCGCAATTCCTCTAGCGTGACTTCCAGTAAACCTTTCTTTGCAAGTATGCTCGCTATATTCTGATGCATGATTGTAAATGATTTATATGTTTGAGACTCGAAAAAAACTTTTCTTATTATCTATAGGAAGGAAGTCAGTAATAAGATACTTGGGTTTGGGTTTTTTTACTTCGGTTTTAGTAGTAGTAGTAAATGTGGATTGACGTTTAAAATAATAAGGAATTGTTCCTTTAGGATATATGTTTACGCCAGTTTTTTGTGTCATTGGATTATTGTCACGTCCTATCAACTTTTTTATTTCACGTACATCCAGATACTTTTTTTCGTAGTCAATATAGTCAATAAGAAAATTAATTGAATTACACATGTCAAAAATAGTTTCATTTGTACATGTCACAAAATGGCATCTTTTAAATTCATTACATATTTTTAGTATACTATTATTTAAGGCATATATATTAATATACTTATTTTTAAACACATTTAACAAGAGTATGTCATTATTTTTAAAAGTAGTTAATAATTTCCGAAGTTGGGATATCAAAATTTTTATATCGTAGTCATTTTCACCAATACATAATATTAGTTTGCCATTGGGCGTTAAATCAACGTTATGACAGTCTTTTAAAATATCTGTAGTCAGGGCATCAGGCTTCGATTGAGATGTAATTGTATACTTTTCATACGTAGTATATTTTCTTGATCGGATTAGAGCTGAGGATAGGCCAACACACTGTTGTGATCCGTAGATAAATATTCTTTTCCCGTTATCGTTTTTCTTAGCAGGTGTAGGGGTCAATTTATTACAGGGTGGTGAACGCGATGAATTCGTGTCATGCAATTTTAGTTTTAACTTGTGAATATGTTTATTGAGGGTTTCAATTTCTCTTTGCACATCGCTCAATTTTTGTTGAAACTCTGTGATTTGCCGTTGCAGGTTCAACTGATCATCGGTTATAAGAGACTGTCTCTGTGTAGGTGAACTGGATGGTGAGAGTAAACTGACTTTAGTTAATTGCGTATACGGCTTAGATTTTTTCTTGGTGCTTTTTATTATACTATTATCTTGTATTGGAGATTGGCACAGCGTTTTTAAGACGTTATTTTCTTTTAGAAGTTTAGAGTTTTGATCTCAAAGGGCGTTATTTTCTAATATATAGTTTTCCAATTCCTTCTGTGTACTAGCTAATTCTAATTGTAATCCGTTAATAGTTTCTTTTAATTCTTGAACATCGATTGCGTCTGTAACTGTGCAATACATACTTCTTGAGAGTAGTTGGTCTAACATTGAAGGTGAGTTATCCAAAGATATATTATGTAGGGTAAGTACATGTGAGTCTTCAGAATGGCATGATGTGTTTTTTGGTGTCGACTGTATTGGCATTTGCGTAACGACGGGTGAGTTTTTCTTGGCAATTCCTGGCGTAAATGGTTTTTTCCTCGTTGTAACGAAAGAAGACTCTGTGTGACTTGGCTTTGAGTTTTCTTTGCATATTTTGCACATCCATTTTTTTCTCGAGTCTATGTCTTTTAACAAGTATAGTTTTTCAGAGTAACCGGTGCAGTCAAATTCAAAATATTTTTTGCATCGTGAACAAAGTAATGCTTTTTTCGATTCAATTTTCTGTTTACATATTTCACATGTTACCATTGGCGACATCTTGTGAACGGCTTTTGAATTGGTTTGCTGCACTTTCGTTGTTTTGTTGCTCAGCATTTTAAAATTATGATAATTATTATATTTTTATTAACTTATGTGCGTTGTTGATAGATATCACCGTTATAATAATAAGGAAAATAAAATCTAATACAAAACCTTTTAGTGCCTCGCTCTGGATGTATTTATTTTGATTTGAATAATACTGTTATTTCTATCACCCACTGGATTATGTGAGTCAATTTTTATTGTGGATTAATATCGGTAAAAATTAATCATCAGATTAGTTTAGCTACTCCACAAACAGATGTCACTGTACTGTCTCTATGTCGGTAAAATCATTCATCAGATTTGTTTAATTATTGCACAACAGATGTCACTGTACTATCTGTTTTATATAGTATGAGTCAGTGTCGATAAAAACATTGTACATTTTAAATCAAATAACAGCTGATTTTTGTTTTCATAATATTATTAATGGATTTCCAGACAAATTTTAGTATTTATTTATTCCACTAACCTTCGTAATAGAAAAGGGTAGGCCCTTTGGCACTGCAGTCTATTAAAATACAGTTATATCTTCGTCCTGGTGTTAAAATTGAAAATATCACTGCACTTAATATTTCGTCGTTTTCTCTGTTATTTATGTCCACTGTTGATAGATAATGATTGTGCTTATTGGTTTATTCCTACTATAACTATAATATCAAGTTTAGGTGGGAAATTGCACTTTTTATATTTTAAATTGACAAAAATACACGAAGCCTATGTTTACTGTGTGTGATTTCAGAACCCTTAGCTAAATTTATAAATACCTGTATTAAAACCTGTATAAAAAATATATACTGAAATGGCTGCAAGATGTTGATTATGTCCAAACTGAAAATCTTTTTACAATATTAAAATAAAATATAATCAATATTAAAATAAAAATACTAAAAAAAAACACTATTCAAACATGTACATACATATAGACAAACATAAACACACACACTCACACACATACACACACGCCCATACACACACGCACACACACACGTACACACACACACACACACACACACACACACACACACACACACACACACACGCACGCCACATTAAACATTACCTAAAAGTAACCGCCATAAAATAATATTAATTAGGGAATAATGAATCATCTTATGTACTTACCGAATATGGACTTAGCACTAAGAATTAGGGAAGGCACTGTTTCCTGAGATACAGGTGATAACCTAGTTCAGGAGACAGAGCTCCTTGGTATCTAGAAAAATTTGCTTGCTAATAAACGTTATTTTATTTTATTTATTATTTAAAGCAGAAATGTATCCAGATGAACTTAAGGTGGGATCTGTTAGCTCAGTCCATAAAAAGGTATGTTTGATGACACAAATAACTATAGATCAATTATTATAGCATCATCAATAGATAAAATAGCGCAAAAATATATCTGTAATAAAATACATGACTTCTATCAAAAAAAAGTAATGTTTTAGGCTCTAACACTGCAACGCTATTATCGGAATTCACAGATCAAGTTAATTTATGGATAAATCAGAAACTACACGTTGTAGCTCAATATATTGATTTTCCTCGTTCCTTTGATACATTAGATCATAATAGGCTGATTAGAAAGTTAGAAAATACAGGTATTCGCGGACCTCTTTTATATAGGTGTAAAAACTATCCGACTAATAGACGCTACCGTTTTTTTTGCAAAAGCCAGGTATAAATTTGATCACTGTGATACCAATAGAGATAAATATAAAAAAATTCGGAATCACAGCAATAGGTTGTGTAGAGATAAACAACGACGCTATATTCATAAATCTATACTCGATGAAGATAATTCCGGCAGAGTATGGAAATTTCTTAAGTCTCTTGGAGTATGGAAAGCGGGTCAAAATAGTAGCCCCAAAAATATTGACTTAAACCAGCTAAATCAGCATTTCTCTTCTTCTTGTGCCATAGATGAGGTCACAAAAATACAAACTAAAACTCAAATTTCAGCTTTACCCAAATCTGACAATCCTGCTTTTATTTTTAGTCAAATCACTAATAGTGATGTTAAGAAAAGCATTGTTGAGGTCAATTCTGATGCAATTAGTACAGACTGCACTAGTCGTAAAATGATTATCCATATTGTCGATATCTTGACTCCTGTCATAAAATCCATCTTTAATTATTCCATTTCATCCGGAAATTTTCCCCCTTCCTGGAAAGAAGCCCAGATTACTCCTATATCCAAAAAAGCAAATCCCTCCAGTTTCTCTAACTACCGCCCCATATCCATAATTCCATTCCTTTCAAAAGTTTTTGAGCGTATAGTTCATCGACAATTGAGTATCTACTTATCTAGGTGGAGTCTTTTCAATTCTTTCAAATCCGGTTTCCGTGTTGGTCATAGTACGACCACTGCCTTAGTCAAGATTACAGAGGATATTCGTCTAAGTATGGATAAACAGCACGTAACAGTGTTGACCATACTTGACTTTAGTAATGCATTTAACAATGTGGATTTTGATCTACTGTTAGCTATCTTAACTTCTCTTAACATATCTCCTGAAGTGATTGACTAGTTTCATAGTTACTTGTTTGGTCGCCGGCAACGGACACGTGTAGATGATTCGTTCTCTAACTGGTGTACGATTAATGCAGGTGTACCGCAAGGTGGCGTGTTGTCTCCTCTCCTCTTTTCAATCTTCATTAGTTCGATCACGCTTCAATTATCTTCTCGCTACCGCCTGTATGCAGATGATCTCCAAGTATATGAGCATGCCAAATTGATGGGTTTACCTAATACTATAGGTTTATTAAACAAAGATGTTGACTTAATTGTGGATTGGTGTAAGTCATACGGTCTTAAAGTAAATCCATCAAAAACAAAAGCAAAAATTATTTTTATTAATTTATTAATCTTATCGATTTTTCTTCCCTACCTGGTATTATTTTTGATGGGACACCTGTGCCATATAGTGACACCGTTAAAAATCTAGGTGTTACTTTTGACAAATTTTTATCTTGGGCTCCACAGGTAAGCGAGGTAAGTAGGAGGATGTTTGCGTCGGTCGGAAATCTCCGTCGATTAAGTAATTTTTTACCCATACCTACCAAATTTGCGCTTGCACAATCACTTCTTTTACCGATTCTCGATTATGCTGACACGTGTTATCTCAATTTAATAATAATAATAATAATAATTGAATAAAACTATTTTTACGGATTTTATCGCGTTTAATTAACTTATTTTATATTCCCGACGTTTCGGTTGCTTTCCAGCAACCGTGGTCACGGGGGACTGAGGTGATTGACGTCCCGATGTCAAAGTTAACCCGGAGTACCTTCAGCTTTTTAATTATTAATTTTGGTCCGATCTACGCAGAATGAACTAACTGTGTCTTGAAGTCTTACAGTGGTATGCTTGGGTTTAGTTTTAATTTTATGAATTACAGGATCCCAAGCAGGTGGTAGTACCCAGCCTCCCTCTCTATTGATATTAGGATGTTTTTTAATTTCAATAGCCTCACGTATCATCCTTGGCAGGAATCGATGTTCTTTCGCGAGGACTTGTGGTTTATCAAATCTAATGTAATGACGGGGGCCGTCTAGGATATGATCACAAACTGCAGACTTCCCGGAACGTTGGTGCTTCACGTCAGCTATGTGTTCTTTTACGCGGGTTTTTATTGATAGTTTTGTTTGCCCTATATACGAGAGACCACACTCACAAACAAGCTTGTCTCTCCTGCATCTTGTAAAGGAATATTGCACTTGACGGATGGTAAGAACTGACTAATCTTCTTCGGCGGCTTGAAGAATGTTGTAATAGAAGCTCGCTTCAAGATGTAGCCAATCTTGTCTGTGACACCTCTGACATATGGTAGTACAGCAGGCACACGCTCGACTGTGGCCGGCTTCACTCGGTCACTGTGACGTAGGCGCGGAACCCGAAGCTTGTTGTCGTGCAGAACCTGCTTGACGTGCTGAAGCTCGGCGGCCAGGTGTTTGCTGTCACAGATCCCTCGTGCTCTCTGCAACAACCACCTGCCACCTGCTTGGGATCCTGTAATTCATAAAATTAAAACTAAACCCAAGCATACCACTGTAAGACTTCAAGACACAGTTAGTTCATTCTGCGTAGATCGGACCAAAATTAATAATTAAAAAGCTGAAGGTACTCCGGGTCAACTTTGACATCGGGACGTCAATCACCTCAGTCCCCCGTGACCACGGTTGCTGGAAAGCAACCGAAACGTCGGGAATATAAAATAAGTTAATTAAACGCGATAAAATCCGTAAAAATAGTTTTATTCAATGTGTAGTGTTCGCGTAAATATAAGAAATCATTAAATAATAATAATCTTTATTTCGAACCAAAATTAATCCGTAGTAGTGTTAGTAACAATTGACTTATAAACTAGTGTTAGTAAACATTATCTATAATTTAAATGAGGAGATGCTTCATTAACTTGAGCGCATTCAGAATCCAGCATACGGTTCATATTTGGACTTCGAAAATATGACCATGTCTCCGAATATCGCGAAAAACTCAAGTGGCGTCCGATCCGTCTTCGCAGGAATACTCACATTCTTTCTCTTTTATACTGTATACTATTCAATCCCACTTCCCCTACTTACCTTAAAGAGCGGTTTGAGTTTCTTGGTGACACTCACTATCGCTCTCTTCGCTTTGATAAAAACCTCACCCTAAAAATTCCATCTCCTAACACTTCCTTCTATTCTAAATCCTTTTCTGTTGAAGCTGTTAGACTCTGGAACTCCCTACCGCTGCACATTAGAAGTGCGCAGTCTATTGATAAGTTTAAAAAACTTGTCAAAGCGCACTTCTTTCCTCCTTAAATAGTCATTCCTCTAAAAAATTACTACCTACTCATTTTTCCTTACCTTTAGGCTTTGACTTCACTTGTTTAATCTTTTCTGCTCTCGTATATGTATGTATATATTTTTGTATTTAAAATGTATTTATTTATATTATAGATGTATGTATTTATGGATTATATTATATATGTCGTGTGTATTTTCTATCAACCTACGTACAC